TGTGACTCTGTATTTTATTGTTGTGTGTTTCTTTTACAGTTTTTTAGATTTTACCTCTTACCTCCTATATGACTTTTATCTGTTTTCATCTTGGCGTTTGTCCTTTTCACTGTACAGCACTTTGGTCAGCTGTCACGCTGTTTTTAAATGTGCTATATAAATGAACATGGTATGGTATGGTAAAAAGGTGAATTTAAGTATTATTTAAGAATAAATGAAATGAAACCAGCTCCAAGATGTAGAATAGCCTCAAAACTGGTCCAGTTTATCATTTTTCACAAAAAAGACAGACTTCGTTCAATCGGTCAGAATATTCTTCAGTCATACATCTTTGGCTGATTTTTCAGTCCAGCATCTGAGTATTTTTGAAATAATTCTAATTTTCTGTTTGAACAAATAGGATGGGACGAAAATAAGACAAAAAAATTGTTCAAACGTATTAAGTTGAAGCTTTTAAAATCTCAAAGACAAGTCAGTTTGACAGACAGGAAGTAGTATTTCAGCACCAACAAGATGACTCTTAAATAGCTATTAGCTAAAAACATAACATCCAGTTGTCTTGTGAGGTCTTTTCAGCTGGTCAGACATGACACTCATTCTGTGCCTCTGCCATACATTTGAGTGTTTTTTAGGTCCTAAAATTTCTTTTATCACCTATTTGTCCCTTTTCCTAATTATTTAGTGCATGATAAACATCATGTTTGCATTGGGTGAGATCTAGCCGCAAAATGAGCAAAGTCCAAAGAGAGATTTTAAAATATCTTCAGAAAGGCTGGGAAAATGTGAGATAACTTTAAGACAAGAAGTTGTGGCTGAATGATGTATATATGGAAACAAACTCATGCTGTTGAGACAAACTGGACATCTGGTGGAGCAACATTTTAATTTCTTTGATTATTTTAGCAAAATACAGCATAAGACAAATAAAAGAAATGGAAAGAAATCGGAAATTACTCTAATCAACACGCCTAACGCAACCTTTCCACGTTTACTTTTCTTTTGTGTATTTAATCAGTAGCCCGGGGCGACTTGGGAGTCCTCAAAATCCCATAGAAACACCACCTTCACTCAAACTCAAAAGTGATGTGATTGGAAATAAAGCGTTCGTAGACACATTTTAGAGCAGGAAGTGGGTAATTATTGTAGACAGAGCAGCTGATGGATGGACGTGTTTGTGTTCAACAATCCACTCAATTTCCCTGCAATCTACTGGACTAATAGAAAGCAGGTGTGTTCCCTTTCATTCTGTATGTGTGTGTGTGTGTGTGTGTGTGTGTGTGTGTGCGCGCGCACGTGCTTGTATGTGAGATACAGTCCGTCACAGTGGAACTGGACAATTTTGTTAATGTGACCACTTTTTTGACTCATTTTACAGTGGTGCCCCTAAAAATTTTTGATGGGGGCACAAGGGGCCAGTGAAACTTTAAAGGTGGCACTCCAGTTAGCTCCTTTGGAAAGTCTGGGAGCATTTAGCCTGGGGTGATTTATTGCTTAGATCCTTCACTGTTTTTTAATAAAATACATTATGCATCAAACACATTTGCCTAAAAAAAACCCAATAATTTAAGAAATAAATCAATTTCAAACGGTTATTTTCATTATTGTTTGAAAATATATTGTTTCACCATTTTAGAACAATTTAATTCACTTGTTGCAGTCTGAACTAAAACAACCACAAAAACTATTGCTGTTTACATTTTTATGAACTTCAGCAGAATGTATTCAATTTCTGATTTATTTGCCCAAAAATTATAAATGTATTTATTGGTTTCACGTTTATCTCTTGATTAACAAATTTGAGTTTCGTATAAATATGAATATTATTGATGGAGGGGTGGTCTTCCCGGGGGGGAATCCATTTTCCAGGGGTGGCCATGCAACCCTGTGGCCACCACTTAGGGGCACCACTGTCACTTTCAGTTTATTTCAATGCAAATAAATGTGAAAGAGTTTTTTATATTTTTATAATTATGATTTAAACTAATTTTAACTTAACTTTTCTGACCCTTGAAGACCAACATTTTTTTATTTATTTATCTTTCAGGTAAATAGTCAGAAAAACATTATAATCCAAGAGGTGAGATAAAACAGCCACCCAAGTGTCACTGGTCTCCATTAAAAATGACTAGAAATGTTCTGCTTGACCAAATATACAGAAAATGCACTGCACACAGAAGCTCACATGCACTGTTCCAGCTGAAATGTTTTGTATGTAAAGTAAATCTGCAAAAACCTGCAGGGAGTCATGTGGAGGGAACCTGGGATTAAACCTTAAAGTGAAGTGCTCCGAATGCTAAATGTGTGTGTTTGATTGCTGGAGTGTGTGCACAGGCTGCTGCATACAGTGCTGTTTCACATTGGTCACAGAATGTCTCTCTCCTTCTTCACCAATCCTCAGCTTCCTACCTGAGCAATACAGGAAAAGGGTTTATAAAGGAACATAAAGAGTGTATCTGAATGAGATTGTTTTAAACTCTATTTTATGTTTTTTAATGTATTTTGTGTTAACCTATAAATGATTTCATTTGAATAATCTAAGAAGGGAAGATTTTCTCCTTTAGGCAGAGTTTTTCACACATTTTTTTGTGACTGTTCACTCCAGGCATCTTAAAGCTGAGAAAGCTGCTTAGATCTCTACTTGTTTTTATATTTCCTCCAAAAGCTCCTCTGCATTGGGAATTTTAATTTTAGAAATATTTCAAGTGGAGACATGTGCACCCAGTTTTAGCTCTGTCTAAAATGCATTATTTATTTCATTTTATTAAAAAAAAACTTAATCCAACAGAGTGCAAAATGATAAAATACAGAAGCGTTTTTGCCCTGTTTAAGGACTCAAAACCTTTTTCTATATTCTATTTCCTGGGTAACGTTTGCGTGATAAAAATACATTAAAATATGTATTTTTTTTTTACCAAAACAACCTTATAAAATCACACTTAAAATCCATCCATCTTCTGAACCCGCTTTGTCCACGTGGGGTCGCGGGGGTGGGGGTGGGGTGCTGGTGCCCATCTCCAGTGGTCAACGGGCAATCAGGCGGGGTGCACCCTGGACAGAGAGCAAGTCCATCGCAGGGCAACACAGAGACACACAGGACAAACAATCAAACACACACACACCTAAGGACAATTAAGACAGACCAATCAACCTAACAGTCATGTTTTTGGACTGTGGGAGGAAGCCGGAGTACCCGGAGAGAACCCACGCATGCACAGGGAGAACATGCAAACTCCATGCAGAAAGATCCCAGGCCGGGAAGCGAACCCAGGACCTTCTTGCTGCAAGGCAACAGCTCTAACCACTGTGCCACTGAGCACTTAAAATATGTATATAAAATAATGAGACAAAATGTACATTTTACAATTAAACAGTTTTAATTACATTGCGTTTAGTAAAAAAGGTCACATGTTCACAGTATTTTTTACGGAACTTTTCTGGCAACCACAGCTGCTAAAATCATTTTGTAAAAACAACAGTTGTTTTTACAGTGTGTCTCATCTTGCTTAGTTAGAACTTTTTTTAAACCAGTATAGTTTACTTTAAAGGCAAAACAATATGGTAACATAAATATTTGGCTAAAAAGTGCATGGCAATCTTCTTTGTGTGAATTCACCTTATGCCTTAATTTTTTTCTTTTTCACGTATTTCTGTCTTTCTGACACTTCCCTCTAAGCTTGCTCTGGAGATTGCATCAGCTGTCACACAAGAGCTAAGAGCTGGTTTCCAAATGGATTTAGTCAAACTGTCAGGTTTACTACTTTGGTGTACAAGCTACGGCCACTGCACTCTCCTGTCTAGTAGTATTCTGGGATCTTGTTACCTTAATGTTTGTTGAACCTAATCCCAGTCGCCTGTAACTCTGATCTCCACTGAAGCAAGCCTACCCTCTGCCACTTCACATTCAGTGCTAATTCAGTCAGACTTTTTCACGTCTAGCTGTCAAATTTGCCACATCTCAACCTTCTCCTCCACCTGCCATCTTTTTTACCAAGTCCAGCACTGATCCCACTTTTTAAACAAACTCCCTGCGCTAGAACTGATGAAAAAACGTGTTTTATATGACTATTTTTCAAATTCATACTCATGGTAAAAGCTGTCTTGGTTGTTGTAACCTCTACCATTACAGCTTGATTTGACAAATATATGTATCTTTCTAAATAACAGAATAAAACTAACACACACACACACACACACACACACACACACACACACACACACACACACACACACACACACACATTTCCCTACCACTGGAAGTCTGAAGAATAAACTAGAGCCACAAGACAACACTAAACACATTCCTGTTGAAAAATAAAAACTACACTCTGTGTAAATCTCAAACTACACACACTCAAACACTGCGACACTTTGTAACTTGTGTATTCTGCAGGATTCAAGTAGCAAAGAATCTTCAGAAATTTATGCCAGACACAGAAATAAAATGTGCAACTATGCATCTCACAAATGACTCGATCTCTTTCTCACGCAGGCCCCCATGCACACATGAGCCCACACAGACATGCACAATCACACACGGCCTTACATATGCCAAACAATTGTTTCCTGCTGCAGTCTGCTGGAGGTTGCTCGAGATCTGGAGAGAGCCTCTGGGTGATTTGTCAGGTTGAACCATGCTGGCTGGGAACCCTTAAAAGTTTGCTGTAGGGTCCAGAGGGACACGATCTGGGACCTGTGAATTCCTGCGTGCACTCTATTTCACCCTTTGATGCTTGAACCAAGAATGTTAGACAAAAAAAAACTGCTAGTGAACACAAATACACATGCCAAATAACCAGATGCTGACTTTTTAGGACACATAATTTTAATTATTATCTGAATCTTTACTTTTATAGTTTTATTCAAGCAATTGAAACCCCAAACTTAGTTGTTCTACATTTAAATGGCAGCATGCAGGATTTTTTGTTTTGATTTTTATGTTCTTCTCAAATGACTCAATTTCCCATCATACCGAGCAAAAGGGACGTATCTGACGTCAGGTTGTACAGCCAATGGTCTCACTCCTGACACGGAAGCCTTTAGAGAAGAGGGAAGTTCAGTTTGTTGACTTCGTTAAGAGACAAGCTTGCTTTCTTGTCCGAGACGCGAAAAAGAAAGAATTTCTATGACTGATCTCTGGTATGTGAGTTTGCCGGTTTAATGAACGACAGTACATTGTGCAACTTTATCTAAATTTAAAACCATTGCAATTGTCGGGGTTTACAAACCGCTAGCAAGCTAACTTCGACAAGCTAAAGGTAAGGAAGAATGACCTTGTTTTTAAATGTAATGCATTTATTTATTTACATACTAGTACCGACTGACGTGTAAACGTTGTTCCTTGGGGCTCTGTTGTGTCTTCAATGACGCTTTTTTCTGTAAATTTGAATTGAATGTAACCAACTGTTGCGGAGGATGAAATACTGACATCTAGTGGTGTAACGCAGCTTCAGCACCCATGATAAACCCATGAGTTTTTGTTGTTTATGACGTTATTTTTCCTGTTTATTCCAAAACTTTTAATACATGTGAAGAAATAACGTGTTGATTGCTATTGTAGCTGTTAGATGAAAAATTAAACGAATCTTTATTGATTTTTAATTGTATTTTTCACTTTGAGTGCCGAATAAAGTTCAATTTGTTTAGTTATTCATTTATTTTTGAGTATAACTCAAACATATGACTTAAAAATGTTTTCATAAGAAGTTTATCATTGGGACAACTTATTTACATTTTCTTGGATGATTTTCCAACAAATACCTAAGTTAACAGTTAGACTGAGTTAATGAAAACACAAGGAACCACAATTTTTAGTTCAAGTTTGACAATAAATAATCAATTTATCACCAACAAATGGAATTCCTTACGAATTTTAGCTGAAATGTTGGCATTTGGTCAGTGATCAACTGATAAATGATGCATCTTCTAGGAATAGTGCAATTTATTTGCTGGATTAAATGTTTTTCCCTACTATTTATTTGCTGTAGACAGTTAATAGATTATTCACTCACACTATACAAAAACTAAATAAGTGAATAAAAGAAGCCAAAACTCTGAAAACCACATCGATCAAGATTTCATTGAATTAAAACAAAACCTGTGCTCTTGAATTTAAATGTTTAAGAATTAGATGTGGTTTTAAAACTTTTGCACAGTGTCATATTTGCTGACTTTGATTTAAAAAGAAAGTTTCAAATGTAAACATACTTCCCAGGTCTTAATCAGCCTATTTAAAAACCGTGTATAACATAACAAAAACATAAGTTTAATACATTTACAGAAAATTATGTTTAACTGATTTGATTCTACTGAAATTATGTCAACAATCTTATAATTACAACAGCAAACTCAGCAAAACCCAAAATCCACAAACTTAGATGAACAAATCTCTAAAGGTAATATTTGACCGGTCACATCTCGTTCCGCTCCAAAACGTGCTCTGCCAGCGCCAAAGCTGACGATAAATGTTTGCTCATGTATGTTTATTTTCTGCCTGCATGGTTTTCACTTTCGCCAGCTAATTTGTGCACTTTTCATGTGTTTTTCTACATGCATGCGCCGTCTGCAGGACATGGTTTTAATGCACCATTTTTTTACCACTTATGTGTTACGTATGTTTTTCTTTTAATTGAGCCTCTAAAGAGACAAGTCAACAAAGAAGTGTTTGTTCTTAATTTTGTTGGCTTTTTTCCTTCCTGAAAATGAGTATTTATATATTCACATCGGTGGGCCATAGGGGCTTTCCAGCAGAGCTGATGGCAAGACATTAGACAGATCGTGTATTACGAGATGATCATAAAATACAAGCCTGTGGTGTCCCACACAAACCTGTCATTATGGCAAAACAACACGCACGCACGCATGCACGCACGCACGCACGCACGCACGCACACACACACACACACACACACACACACCATTCTCAAGCTATATGCAGACATGAAACACATCTTCACACATATACACACACCTGCGCGTCTTGCTCACCGCACGTTTTTTTCCCATCCATCATAAAAGGTGAAGAATGTGCTGTTTATTTCTCAGTAGGCAGTCTTCATAGTGTGGGAGATGACTTGATCGCCTGTGGCTTAAGAATTTGATCATTAAATCATGGTAATAAGTGGTTAGTATAATCAGATTAAAACACCATGCCCCCTTTTATTTTCTGCATGATATTATTCCACTCATTCTTCTATTAGCCACCTTGTTGCTCTTATAAGAAGTTGTGGCTGATGTATGCCACATGTCGAATACCAGAGTAATAACGTTTGATTATATATAAAATAATCTAAAAGCTATTTAAATATTAGCCATATTTTATTTGTAGTTTCTATAGTTTTGTTTATGCATGTTTAGTGACATTTCGTAATAGGAAAAAATACAAATTCAATATGTTTTTGAACACATCAGTGGATAAATTACCATATTATAGCTGTTTTAATCTTATTTAGCAGTTAATAGTTATTTATCTTTTGGAAACAGCTAGGGCTGGGCATAAATAGAAAATTTATCGTTATCAAAATTCTGACTCTTATTGAAAAATTTTCCCATGTCAATAAATTTGATAATAAAAAAATGAAAAGATTTGTGTTGTTGGCAACATTCATGTCGCTTTAAGAAGCTGGACCAGCTTTAGTCACGTAAAAATGTGTCTCGGCGTGATACATGTAACAGCCCCATCTAGTGGACAACTTTAGTTTCTGCACATACCTGTAGTTATCATCCATTTATCGTTATCGAAATGAACTCCTCAATATATCGTGATATTGATCTTAGGCCATATCGCTCAGCCCTAGAAACAGCTACTTTTTGATATACACATTCTAAGGCCTGGCAATAAATAGAACATTAATTGTTATCAAAATTTCTGACTCTTATCGTGATAATTTTTCCCATGTCAATAAATTTGATGATAAAAAATGAAAAGATGTGTGTAGGTTGGCGATGTTCGTGTCCCTTTAAGAAGTTGTACCTTGAGTCATGTAAAAATGTGACTCAATTAATTCATGCGACAGCCCCACCTAGTTGACAACTTTTTTTTTCTGCGCATACCTGTAGTTATCGTCCATTTAACGTTATCGAGGTGAAATCCTCAATATATCGTGATATAAATTTTAGGCCATATCGCCCAGCCCTAACACATTCCCCTAAATTTAAAGGTGCAATAGAGAGCCTACGTCTCCTCCCTTTCCGGTTGGCTCATGGGTCACTGGAAAAACGAAAAAATGAATGCAATAGGCTGAAAGAGCAAATTTCCTTACGCCCTGGATTGCACAAATGTTGCACTTCAATTTAAACGAAAAGTAATGATGTGTGTTTCTACCACGCCAGTCACGTACTTTGAGATTGATCAGCTTGTAAATGTTCGTTGTTAGCATGACTACAAATCAGACTAGAGTAGAATCTCCTCTCCCCTAACGTAGCTGCTACTTACCAAATGGCCGGATTTATGGTGGTTCTTTCCTCCTGTGGGAAGGATTTGAAGTTTGCAGAACCTACAGCCAGTTTCCGTCTGCTTTTCTCCCTGTCTGTTTTGATTATGTCTGAGAAGATCTGTAAGTAAATGTTATTTATATTGACCCTTTGCACCGACGTCACCTAATCACGTGGGTCCACCATGGTGGACGGCAAAAGCATGTAAACAGTGAGCGACACGAGTACTAAACAAAGGGAAAAGTAGAGCCTGAAATTGTTTTTGCGATCAAAACCAAAACAAAACTCCTCCAGCATTCCTTCAACTAGTTCATGCCCAGTTCAGTTATTAGAAGAAGTAGAGCATCTACCCGGGGCTCATAGAGAGCGGTATGCTAACTAGCTTACCAACGTTAGCTTACGTTCTCTCTGCAGCTGTTCACTGATGTAAACACGTTGCTGACTTTGCCTAAATTCACCCCTCTGGATTTATAACTTCATGTTATAAACAACGTTTCACTTTACACCAAAGCTGATTGTTAAAAAGTCCAGATCCCTACCAGCTTCTGTTGCTGGTGGTGTTACCGGGTTCAGCTGCTGCTCTCACACCGGAATGAGAAGATCTCTGCACGCCGACGCTCATATAAATAAATAACGTAATTTTAACACACGTAATCGTACATCGGAGCTTTAATATTGTAAATAATTGTCTCGCTTTACACTACAGTGGACGGCGCGCAGCCTCCGTGGTGAAATACCCATCCATCAGGATTATCAATAACTAGTATAAACACATCACATTTATCCCTGTCCTTGTCTTCCTCGTGAAATAATGAACGTTAATCTTACCCGTTAAAAACACGCTCGCTGCAAATCTGAGGCCTGCTAGTCCGCTTGATTGATCGCTGCAGTTCGTCTCCGTCCTCAGTCTCCATCAAAGTCATTAAAAAGAAAAAACGAGTTGAGTTTACGTCCTTGTCTCTTAGTGAGCCGACCACGCAGCAAGCTAAAACCGTTTTACTGTCAAACCACCTAAATAAAAGCCATAAAAGGCTACAAACTGGCTTGTTTTGACTAGCTTCACTGGAGTTTCTACGGGTGTAAACGTTTTTTTTGCCGCCCGTCATGGCGAAGGGGGCGGTCACATGAGTGGCGTGACGTCGCGTGCAAAGGGTCAATACCACTCATCACAGACATAGAATCACAAAGTGCTTCACATAGATCAAAACAAAATAAATCATTAAGTCATAAAATCAATATGATCTTAAAACAGAAATAGATTAAAATCAGAAAAATGAAGTCATTAAATTATAAAATATCATAAAACAAATCAAAGATGATCACAAATTTGACTTAAAAATAAGAAAACAAAAGATTTATGTAAAAGCACCTTTAAATAAAAGGGTCTTTAGCTGTTTTTTAAAAGTGTCCAGACTGTCAATACTACGTACGGATAAAGGAAGATCATTCCAAAGTGGGGGTGCAACAGCCTGGAAGGAGCGATCACCTCAACTCTCATATCTGGAACTTCTAAAACAGGGGTGTGAAACTCAAATTCACACGGGGCCGAAATGAAAATCTGGGACGGAGTCGAGGGCCAAACTTCATATTTTTTGAAAAAGTGACGGCAAATTTGCCCATTTTCTTTATCAACATAAATGCAATTTTGAACCTTTTCATTTGGAAACAAACTTATTTTTGCATCAACACTGAATGTGGAATAACCAAATCACACACGAGCAAGTCAATGTTAAATAAAACGCTACAGTGGTATTCATTACTTGTGGTATATTCAGCATTTTTAAAATCTATTCAGGATTTATGTTTTCTTGTTGTTTATTCATTT